TGAGGCAGAGAAGCAAAATGTCAAAGATGGGGTGAAAAAGCGGCTGGTTCGACTTTTTCACATCCGTTTTCTTGACTGTGGTACTTTGCTAATGTCTTGAACTTAACTTGCACCTTGTCCTCCTTCAGCCAGAATAGTATTTCAGATGCAATTCCCCCGATTATATAAACATTTAAAACATCGGTCAAGGCTCATGAATATGTTGCTCTCTGCACTAAATGTCCAGATTGGGTCACGGACAGTTTATCCGGTCAAAGTGCAACTAACATATTTGTAGAACATTCCAGATGAGAGGTTCCGCCTTTTGCTCTTCTTAAAAAATACTATATTTTATTTATGCTGCAAGATGCACAACATGTCGCATTCATTGTCAAAGGCCCTCCTCAGGTATCTCACTGAATAAATAACATCTATATGTTTGTTTTTTTCAGGGAAGGAAAGTAAGCCGTGTGTTTAAATCTGGTGTATTAAATTGCATCAGATACAGTATGAGTAATAATTTTGCCAAAAGTAAAGAAAAAAAAAAATAAATCATGCGCCCAGAAAATATGCAAAAATTCCATCATCAAATATTTGTTAAAAAAACAAAATCTTCAGATTCAACTTGTGTTTGTTTTTTCTTATAATTTAGCAAATGTTAGCTTGAGTATACATTTCACTCTGCTCATTTAGCTTCTTTACTGTGTGCCATGCCGGATAAGAACACTGCGAGTTTTGATTTGCAACACGCTCTGACAGCTGCTTCCACAGGACTCCATCAGCAAATGGTCTCCTCCGCTGCCAGCCTCTCAGCCAATAGGACGCCGCAGGGCCCTCGGGGGGGGGGGGTGTCTCATTAGCTAGATTCCAGGACCTGGCTCCGGCCCACTGGATGCACTCGGCTGGAAAGAATGCAGTCCAGAGGGGGATTCATCATCTGCAGCCTCGTCTCCTCTTCCTTGCTCTTTCTCCCCTCCCTCTTTGGGAGAGGAGTGGGCAGGGGGAGGTGAGAAAGTAGAGCCCACAGAGGACTAAAATAAATGCCAGAATCAAGTATTTTCTGTTGAAAATCTTCAACATTTGCTTATTTAAAAACTCAGATTTCTTCATTTCATCAAAATCAGAAGTTTAAGCGTCTGTTCTTGCAGACATCCGGCCACATCTTTACCACAGCAGGAACATTTTGTGCTCTTGTGGCCCTCCCTTGCGCTAAAACTATTTTGGGTACAGATTTCAGAAGGCCTGTGTGGGGCCACGGGTGGTTTATGTAACTTGTCAGCGCGAGCTATCTAATTCTGAAAGGCTAACGTTATCTAAATGTACCCCGTGGGAGGCAGCCGACGTGGGGCCAGATCTGGAACTCCGCGCGGTCCATCAGGTTCAATATAAATCCTCGCCCTCGAGGGACCGGCATTGACCTTTACAATGCAGATACCTACCTGTCCAACACACCAGATGCCACTTCAGCCTTTGCCTGCTATTTCCTGAGCGGTGACCTCTGCAAAAAAATGGAATTGTTAAATGGTAATGTTCTAAATTCATCAGGTAGTCCCTTTTAAAATAGTATATTTGACCACAGCTGAACAAAGATCATTTATCAACAACTTATTAGCATGAAGTTATACTGTAAAGTGGTCAAATTAGTTCATTTTAGGGGCCTTATTGGTGAGTTAAACAGACAAAGTATGGGTCATGCTGGAGGGGGATTTTCCTCAGCCTGGCAGCCCAAAAATGACTATTAGAAAGTGAAAACTACAAAGAAACTTGAAAAATTCAAGACATAATTGATAGAGCAGGTTATCTTTTGTTATTAACCATAAAAGATTAAAATCAACACAGTGAGAAAAATAAACTGTTTCATACAAAGCAAAATACACTTTGATTGAAAGGTACTTAAAATGACAACACGGATACAAGAAAGTCAGATTTTGTGTTACAATGAGTAATTCTGAAACGCAGTTAACCAAATAATTATGTATTTAATGACAAAATGATCCTTGTTTTTTTGTAAATGCTGACTTCTAGGTATTCTTTCCTCACAATAGCTATGTATGTTTTGTTGGAATGAGACCAATAGTTGTTTTTTTTTCCAGCAACATCCGAACGCACAATCGGAACGTGATTTATCATTAACTAGCACCGCTGCCACGCTAATTACGGCGTGTCAGAAATAAACCTCGAGTATTAAAGCCACTTGAATATTAATGGAGGTGTTAAAGCGGAATCACATTTATTTCCCTCCTGGGTCAAGTACTGTAAAGAAAAAAACAATGTTGGAAGCACCATTATTCAAATGAGAGTGCACAGACCTTAATAGAAATATCAGTCCAACCATTAACTTCTGTTTTAACACAGCCCAGTAATTTTGTTTCCAACGTTTGTAGACATGATTGACTGTGCTGTCCCTGTCTATTGTAGAGCATGTTAATGTGCTCCCATCCATATTTCCTAAAAAGCCTCATTCGGGAAAATAAAAGGCTCCAAATAAAGATAAATTAGGGTTACCATGTTGCCTTAATCTGAACTAATGTCGGCTAAAACCGAAATTAGTGCCCAAGAGTGGTTTCATCATTCACTGTTTGCTGATGTGGAGCAAGGATTCACCTTTGAACTCACAGTGGTGGTGATTTTTGTTTCCTGAATGGCCTTGAATGATGGCTGTTGGGATCAAAGTTTACCTAAAAAACACATTTTACATGCGTATACTTGTTAAATCCTCGCGCCTAAACCTCTCTGACCTCGCTGTTAATAAACTTTTTGATATTCAGTTCATTCAGCTCAGGGTTAAGGAATGTGTTTTTATTAAATAGACATGGCAGTGCTTAAAAAAAATCATCTGCATAACCTGTAATTTCTTTTTCCAACAACAAGAAAAACATTAGGACACCATGTATTTTTAGGCGACACTCGTGAAATAATAATGTACTATATCCTGAGTGACTAATGCATCATTTTAAAGACATTTTAGGAAATACTCTGATACAGCCAGTTAACATAGCCACTGGTTCAACCGCTGGTTTTTGTGCAGAATGAGTTATGTGTGAATCATTGGGCCTCAGAGTTGCAGTTAGGTGTATTTTGTTACTTTTCGACAGAATCATGCTAGCTGTTTCCCGATCTTGTATGCTAGGCTATGCTAACCGGCTGCATGGCTTCATATTTAGCTAACCCACAAGAGTGGTATCAATCTAATCCAACTCTCAGCAAGAAAACTAGTAAGTGTATTTTCCAAAATGTCCAATTATTTGTTTGATGCCAATCTCAAAACAGGCCCATTAGCTAAACATGAATCTACAGCCAGCAGCCTGTTAGCCTAGCTTAGCACAAAGACTGGAAACGGGGAAACGGCAAGGTCGCTCTGTCCAAAGGAAACAAAACGCAGCACCTCTACAGCTCACTAATTAACATTTATGTATTGGTTGTTTAATCTGTATAAAAATCATCGCGTAACAATCTATGGTTTTGCAGAGGGTTTTTTGCAGAGGTCACTTTGCTAAGCTACGCTAACTGGCTGCTCGTTGTAGCTTCATATTTGCTGTACAGACGAGATACGAGATATTTGGTATTTTTGATCTCTCTACAATTTAGAGTAAAGCTTTCTTTGCTATATATCGTATGTCGGTATCTACCGATCTGTCGTCATTTGGCTGTGCAACATGCATTTCTAATGATGCACTCAAAAAGTTTTTTGTCTTGCAGTGTTGCCAAGGTTAAAACTTCAAACAGCCTAAAACATTTAAAACCAAACCACTAAAAACCATGCCTTTTTAATTTAGCAGAAAACCATCATGCACTCTGTAATCAATCCAAGCTTATAATCAATAAATCAAGTGTTGCAATACTATAAATGAGCTATGCGATGGCAAGTCTAAGGCTTTAGAAATGAAAACGGGCGTCGCCTAATACATTTTGTGTTGGATATGTTTAAAACATTATGCTAAAATGTACGAAAATTACTGCAATTTGACAACTTTTTTTTTTTTTCCTCCTTAATTTGTCCCCAGACGCTTTGAAAACAGTCACACCCTGCAGGGATAATCAAAGAAGCAGGGGATCCATCTTGACACAACACCTTCTCATCTCGCCTCTAAAGGCAGCTCGCATAGAAAGGACAGATTAAAAAAACATTGCTGCCATGTTAGATACAGACCAGCACTCACACGCCATAATTATTAGCCTGATGATTGCACACAAGTGTTTTCGGCTGTTGCATCTGGCCCCGCGGATGATGGAAGTTGTTGTATGTATCCACCCGCATTTTTCCCCGGCTGTCAAAAATTGCATTCTGAGAAAGCCGTACTCCTCTCATCAAGAGTCATAATTTACTTGTCAAAGCAGGGGTCCTCTCAGCGTGCGGGAGGCTCCCCGGGGTTATAATTGCGAGACGGTTTGGTTCTCCTGAAATGCCTCCAGTCAGGATGAAGCGCGGGCCCGCTAGTCAGGCTTTGTGTACGCTTTCCTTTTTAAAAGTAGCCATTTACACAGAAAATTGTAAAACACGGTTAAACCCCCACCACCACTTGACTAGCTTCACTATACTTTCACCATCAACTCCTTGTCATCATTGACTTTCAACCACTGTGGCGCTCAGAGAGTCGTCTCTACGCTGACACAAGGTCCCCATCTTGTGGAGAGAGGATGGAAGTCTTTCTTTCCCGAGTGCAGGTCAGCTGAGGTCCGCCGGAGAAATCGAGCTGCATTTTGCAGCTCGTGCAGAATTTTATGATTTTTTTTTTTAAGCATTAAATAAGTGATTTATATGAATCATTCAGAAAGCAGGATCTTAAATTCAGTTATTCTAATGTACTGTACATAGGTACTATTTTGAAGTACTTCATCTTTACTAGAGTATTTCCATTTTCTGCTGCTTTATACTTCTACTCCACTACATTTCAGAGGGAATCATTGTACTTTTCACTCTACTACATTCATTTGACTGGAATATTACACATAAAAAAACACACAATGCGCTTATAAAACATACTCTCCTAAAATTAAAATAAATTTCTTTGTGATATTTGTAGTTTGACAGACCGTAAATAAAGAATCTGAGTACTTCTTGCACCACATTTTTAATTTATTCAAATATATTCACATAACAAGACAAGACACTATTCTTTATATGATACATTCATACAGTGTCATCACAGTTCTCCGCTGTTCAAAGCCACCACATCCTCCATCTTCTCTAACAACCCCTCAATCGATGCGTCGCTTCTCTTGTTGCTCAGCACATGGTACCTTCCCCCGCATCGCTCCACGAGCCCCGTCAGCTCCCCGTTCCTCAGGATGTGCTGCTCGGCGCTCTCCCCTAACGTTTCCCCCCACGTGAACAGCACCAGCGTGCGCCGCCAAACGCCTTCCCCGAGCAAGCCCACGTGCTCCTCGACTGCTCTCCTGTACCTCTGCGTGCAGGTCAGGTAGGCCGGCATGAGCAGGAGGACCACGTGTGGTCCTGGGCGACACCAGGAGACGCTGTCGAGGATGCTTGTCCTCTGCACCGCGTCGGTCGGGTCGGGTCCGTCTCGCCACCTCAGGCCCAGCGGTTCTGCGACGGCGAGTCGGCGTCCGCCGACCTGACCTCTCCAGGGCCTGAACGTAGACGCGTCCGGTTCGGACGCCTCCCCGCACAGGAGGGTGACTCCAACGGGGCAGCGAGACGACCAGGACTCCCCTAACACCACCACCCTCAAGTCCGACCCAGCGAGGTTCGAGCTTCTGTGACCCTGACTTGCTGATAAAAAGGTGAAATCTTGAATGACCTCTCTGGCCTTTTGCCTCCTCGTCTCTCCTCCTCCCCCTCTCCTCCCTTCCTTTCCCTCAGCCGTCTCTATCTCCTTTAGTGTTTCAAGGTGACAGTTATTTCTCTCTGCAGCTGACGATGATGTCTCCATCCTCTGATCCTCCCTTTCCTTGTCTCCTCTATCTGACTCTCTTCCTCTTCCCTTTTCCCTCCTCTCGCTGACCTCCCGGTACATTAAGGGCAAGTCATCCTCTGAGCTCTCAACTGCAGCCGTCTGATCGAAAGGATCCCTCTCATGGTCTCCCACATCACGCTGTCCATTCTCCAAATCCCCCCTCTCTCTTTTGTGCAACCCTTCCTCACGCTCTTTGAGATTCTGTTCCCACTTGCCCAGTTTCCTAAGCGACACCTTTAAGTTTCTCTCTTTGTTGTGAAGCTCTTCCTTCAGCAGAGCCAGGTCCCTCCCCATCTCATCCAGCTGCTGCGTCGTGGAGTTCACATGCTCGTTCTGCATCTGCAACTCTGACTTCCAGCTGAGCAGCTCCTGCTCTTCATTTCTTAAGTAGTGCTCCCTGTCTTTCAGCCCTTTCACCTTCTCCTGAAGATCTTGCCCGTGATAATTCAGCTCTTTCTGTCGGCCCTCCAGAGCTGCAAGCAAGCTCTCTAGCTCCCTTTCCCTTTTCTCTTCATGTTGTGCTCTCATGCTCACTTCTTGCTCGTGTTTGTCTGTTTCCTCCTGCTCTTTCTTTTGCTTTTCTAGACTTGCTTCCCATTTGCTAAGTTCCTCTTCCTTACTTTCCAAGTTTACCTCTTTTTCAGCCAGCTCTGTCTCTTTTGCATCAAGTTCATTTCCTCTTCTGCTCAGAAGCTGCTCCCTTTCTGCTACTTTGTTTTCGCTTTTCAAGAATTCCTCATCCTTCGTTGTGAGCTCTCTCATTTCATTTAACTGCCTTTCTGCCTCACCCTGCCCCTCTTTCATCCTCTCTATCTCTACTTGCAGTTTGTTATTTTCCTCCTTCAATCCCCCGACCTCCACGTCTCTCTCTTTAAGAATACCTTGCGCCTGCTCTTCACATCCCCTGAGATGTTTCCTAACTTCTTCTTCGCTCTCCCTCTTCAGCTCTTCGCACTTTACTTCGAGGTGTTCTGCCTCCTTTCTCATCTTCTCGTTTTGCTGCAGCAGCTCCTCGACTCTCCGCCGGCTTTCCTCATATTTCTCCGAGGCTTCCTCTGAGCGACTTGTCGCTCGATCCCTCTCCTTCGCGATGGATTCCACGCTCTCGTTCCTTCTCGCGATCTCCCTTTCGTACTCCTGGATCATGCTCGTCATCGCCTTCTCCATCTTGTGCGTGAGCTCCTTCAGCTCGGACTTCGTCTGCTCGATTGTCAGCCTCAGCTGAATGATCTCTCTCTCTTTTTCTCTGTCTCTCAGCCTCAGCTCTTCTTCTTTCTCCTGAAGTTTTTCCACAATTTCCGCATCTTTTTTCCTCTCCTGCTCTGTGTGACGCTGCTGTATCTCCATGATACTGGTGGTTTGGTTTTGATGGCTCTCTTTCAGCTCTTCAATTTCTTCCAAGTAGTTTGCACATGTCTTTTTTGCCTCATCAATCTCACCGTCTCTCTCTGCAAGAAGACATTGTGCTTGTGCTATTCTTTTTGTTTTATTGTCAATGATTTCTAACAGTCGCTTTAGCTCGTTTTCTCCCGTCTCGTCCTTCTTCCTCTGCTCTTCCCTCCATCTTCTCTCCCTGGAGTCGGCCTGTTGTTTGACACTTTCAATCTCGGTTTCCTTTTCTCTCAGTTTTCTCTCTGTGTCGTTTAAAAGCTCGAGTTTCGTCTCCTCCATCTCTCGTTCTCTGTCCTGCAGTCGCTGCTCTGCCTCTTTCTTTTGATTCAGAATAATTTCTCCTCTCTCTTCGTCTTTCCTCTGCAGGATTTCGTCAATGTCCTTTATATGCTGATTCAATTTTTCTATCACTCTTTCTTGTTCTTTGAGTTTTTGCTCCACCTGTTTCTTGTAAATTAAATGATCTCTCTCTCTTTCCTCCTCTGTCTGCCGCAATTGTTGCTCAAGTTCTTTTGAATGTGCTTTTATCACTTCTGTTTCTCTCTCTCTCTCCTCCAGTCTTTGCTCCATGTCTTGCCTGAAATCTATTTCTTTCTCTTCCTTTTGTTGCAGCTTTTCCTTCATTCCTCTCACGTTCAGTTTCATCTCCTCCGTTTCTTTTTCCTTTTCCTTCAGTTTGTGCTCCATCTCTTTCTTGAGATTCATAACAAGCCTTTCCTTCTCCTGGTCACTTTCTTGCATTAGTTCTTTCATTTCATTCATGTGCTGACGTTCTAACTCCTCTAGTAGTCCGCCTCTCTCTTGCACTTTTTGCAAAATGTATCTCTCGTGATTTTCTTTCATAACTTCCTTCTCTTTTTCATTTTCTAGCACCTTTTCTTCTGTTTGGGCTGCATGCTTTTGCTCCAACTCTCTTATCTCTCTTTGTCTTTCCTGCAATTGTTTCTCAGTTTCTTCTGCAAACTGTTGTTTCAGCTCTTGAATCCCTATTTGTCTTTCTTGCTCCATGTCCCTTATTTTATCACCGTACTGTTGTTGGGCCCTTTTCACATCTTCCTCCTTCTCTTTCACTGTTCTATCTATTTCCTCCTGGTGTACAGCACTCCTCGTCTCCATTAGTTCCTCCATTTCTTTCATTTTTCTTGCCATTTCTTCCTGATGCTGCAGTTTTAACACTTCTAGTTCTTTTTCTCTCTCTTGCATCTTCTGTGCCATGTCTTTTTTGTAATCAAGATGACTCATTTCCTTCTCTTTTTCATTTTCCAGCATTTTTCCTTCTGTTTGGACGAGATACCTTTGCTCTAACTCTGCTATCTCTCTCTTTTTTACTTGCATTTGTTCCTCCATTTCTTTTTCAAACTGCTCTTTCAGCTCAGCAATCTCTCTGAGTTGTTCTTGTTGTGTTTCCTTTATTTGATTGTGATGCTGTTGTTTGACTCTTTCTACATCTTCTTTATTGTCTTTCAACCTCTGATCAATTTCTTCTTGATGTTGAACTTTCATTGTCTCCACCATTTTTTCTATTTCACAGATTTCTCTGGCCATCTCTTCCTGATGTTGCAGTTTTAGGCCTTTTATCTCCTTCTCTGTCTCGCGCATTTTTCTCTCTGTCTCTTTATCATGTTGTAATTTGATTTCTTCAACTTTCCTCTGCATATCTTTTTCATATTGTTTTGCGTTGTCGAGCGTTATCTGCTTTTCCTCTGATGCCTTCTCTCTCATTTGTTCTCGCTCTTTATCTTTTTGAAGTAGTTTTATTTCCATCTCTCGTTTTAGTTTTTCTTCCATTTCTGCTATCTTCCTGTTTTTTTCTTGTTCTTTTGTCTCGAGAACATCATCGTGGCGTCTTTTCATCTCGTCCATTTCTGCTTTTAAAGAAGCAACTTTTTCCATCCACTCTGCTTTCTCTTTTTCCTGCAACTCTGTGTTTTCTTCCAATTTCTTAACCTCACTCATCCACTCTTGTTTCTTCGCTTTAACGGTATCTTCCCTCTGTTTTCTCTCATGTTCATTTTCTACAACGGCACGTTCAAGGTCGAGCAGCTTCAGTTGCTGCTCGTCAATTCTTTCTGTCAGTTCCTCGATCTCTCTCTCTTTCAGCTCCAGGTTGAGCGTCGCCTTGTGCCTTTCTCCTCGACTCTGGTTTAGCGCCGCGCCGATTCTCTCATTTTCTATGCTCAGATCCTGAATTTCTCTCTCCTTATCTTCTGTCAGCCATCGCATCCTCTCCTCCAGCTCCCCAATATCATTCTTCCTTTCGCCCATCCTCCTGTCCTCTTCCTCCTCCTCTTCCCTTTGAACGTCGGCCTTCCCGGGTGACTTCACCTTTTTCTTCCTGTCAAAAAACCACCTGATCCTTTTCATCTCCCTATCTCGCATATTTTTCAACTCGTCCTCCTGATGAAGCATTTTGTCTCCCATGTCCTTCAGGCGCTGGTTGAACTTCTCGTTCCTGTGCCGGCTCAGATCCCTGACCTCCTGCACCAGGCCGGAGAAAGCCTCGCACCTGTTCATCGCTGCTGTCTTTTCCACCTTCTGCAGGAGCTCCGTCACCTCGCTAGAGCCTCCGTTTCCTCTTCCTCCTCCATCTGCGCTGCTTATGACGTGGTACCGGCCCCTGCACTTGTCCAGCAGCCACTGGAGGTCCCTGCCCCCGCCCTGGACGTGCTGCTCGATGTCCACCCCCTCTCGAAGCTGATCCCCGTGCGTGAACAGCAGTATCGTGTGTCTCCACACACCATCGCCGAGAAGCTCCAGATGTTCCCTCACGTGCGCTGCCCGCACCAGTGTGTCCACCCTCAGGGTCAGCAGGAGCCCGTGGGGCCCCGGAGGACACAAGGCCACGCTACTGACAATCTCCCTCTTCACCCTCTCGGGTGTGGCACCCGCTACACCTCCCTCCCAGCCCGGAGTGTCCACCACCGTCACCAGCCGCATGCCCACCTCCGCTTGCTGACGGACGCACTCCTCCGTCACCGCCCCGGCCTGGAAGAAGACCATTTCGCCCAGGATGGTGTTTCCTGCAGAGCTCTTTCCTGTCTCACGCTCGCCCAGGAGAACCAGTCTGACCTCGGGTAGACGTCTGGGAGCCCTGGAGAATGACTGGTGGGCGTCTAACTTGGAGCCCTGGAGACCATCGCCTGGAAGGGAGAAAGGTACAGATTAGTGATGAAACATATTTTGTATGTGCTCATACAAATTAAAAATGAAAGAAGTTAAGAGTCTAGGGGCCAGAAAAACATGAAAACAAGCCAACAGACACACAGACACTACTAGCTTGTTAGCAAACAAGTTACCTACACATTACTTTCAGACTTAATATTCATTGCAAACTGATGAATTCTGGTCCAATATTCACACTACTTTTAGCAGTTGTTCTCCACCAACTCCTGAAGGAAATATCTGTCTGTTTAGCTGCTAAACGCTCCACTTTTTTCATCGCTTTGTTGTCTGTTGCTTGGTGCTGGACAGATAGTGTACATGGGGTATATTCAGCATTTTGTTGTTGCTGAAAACAGCTGCCTGCTTCTGCTGGAAATGACCCCCCGGAAAAAACTCAAACTATGAGTTTGACATTAAGGTAGACACATTTCACACCCAGTCATTTGATCCACTGATCCACATATAAAACTACTTATTAGTGCAGCTTCAAGCATTGATTTATATTTTCCAATAACAATACATTCAGCAGGTTTTCACTGTCTGATTGTGATATGATTTTGTGTATTTGAGAGGATTTTTACAAATTGAACAGACTGAACTCACTCGTTAGGGCAGCTTTGATGGTCCCTCTCTGCATCTGCGCCTCCATCTGCCTCTGTTTCTTCCTCCTCTCCCTCGCTCTCCTCTTCCCGTCTGCTTCCAGACCCACCAGCACCGTATTCTCTATCTCTAAATGACCGCTTCCATCCTCCTTCTTGCCCTCCACCATCTCCTCCAGCTTCCTTATCAGCTCTCTGACCTGCGTCCCATCTCCTTTGCTCCAGTTATTCACGACATGGTATCTGTTCCCGCACTTCTGGAGGAGTCTCTGGAGTCCCGGGCCGCTCGTCAAGATGCGCTGCTCCATGGACCCCAGGCCCAGCTCGTCCCCCCTGGTGAACAGCAGCATGGTGTGCTCCCAGACTCCTTTTCCCAGCGGCTCCAGGTGCTCCTCGATCTCACTGATGTAGTCCTCCGTTACCGAGGCGCAGGATCGCACCACCAGGAGCACGGCGTGGGGTCCGGAAGGGCAAAGCGACACACTCCGTAAAGTCTCTCTCCTCACCCAGTTGGGGGTGCTGTTGAGCGGGTAGTACCACTCCCAACCTGGCGTGTCCACCACCGTGACTCTCCTCCCTGCCACATCGGCTCGCCGTTTCACGCACTCCTCCGTGGGCTTCCCGCTCTCGAAGTCTCCCGCTGCCCCCAGGATGGTGTTGCCTGCCGCGCTCTTCCCTGCTCCTTTCCTGCCCAGGAGGACCAGCCTGAGCTCCGGGAGAGCCGAGGGGACGCCGTGCGAGTCGGGAGGGAGCCGTGAGTCCATGGCCGCCTGCTGACTCTCATCTGTGATGAAAGGCAGAAGTACTTCCTCTGTGCACCGTACCGGGTAAACTGAATGACACAAAGCACAGAAGTGTGACAATGATCAGTCATCTAGTCTCTGCTTTACACTTAAAACGGCACTTCAAACCATATTTTTATTGTTTTACTTCAGTGACCATAATTAGATTGTGTACTTACTTATTCAATTATCATAAAATACCTAAACATTAAACTTTATTTGCTGTCAGAACGTATATATTTGTATTATTCACTTCACACACTAAGGTGCCTCTATACAAGCATATTTTAATGTTATAATACTTAAGCAGACAAAGAGTTTAAGAGCTCTATGATAAACTCACCACCATTCGTGACGATGACTGGACCACAGTTCTCATCTGTCGTGTCCATCACCACTACGTTTGCGTTCTTCCTCTTGTCCTTCCTCTTCCTCTTTTTACAGGAAGAGTTTAGTCAACGTCATTGTGAAAGAAAACAGGAACACCCTCGTAATGAATTGAAATGAAGATGGGTGCCACACAGACTGAACTCAGAAACTGGAAGACTCGTCATGTCACATGAACAACCTGCGGTTTTGTAACGCCCTCTCATTCAAGACGACAGGAAGTCAAACAATGGCTCCTCTGACACATTGAAGTACACATGCTCGCATGACATGCACCAATGCACAGGTGCATGTTGCACACAGTTGCAAAGATGAATCCATGTATGCACATAGAGAACATGTGTGCTGAGGCACACATGCAGGCTTCATAATGAGAGCTGCAGAGCTCATTACTGTGAGCCGCTGCCCTGTGGTAAATGTGTGGCACTTCTGTTTCCTTTACCCTGCAGAGTGAGACGGAGCTGACTCTGCCTCGAGTTAGGCTGTCAAATGTATGCAAAGGACAAGAGTGAGCAGACCGCGGACAAGTTAGTTAATACAAAGTGCAAATTATGATATTTGTGAGAGATTGTTTTCACCAAATCTTCAGTTTCAACATGCAGAACTAACTTCGGGATCAAAATGTCTGAAAGTAACAGCAACACTTCAGAGCATCACAAGCAACATTTCACAAATATTATTATTTTTAAAAGTCTATTCTTGACCTTGGAAACAGGAGCTGTGACAATAATCTCACCACAAGCTCCATTTAGCAATTGTTCTGGAGCGTTCAATCAAACTTCTACTGTTGTAAACCTTCATATAAAATGCCCTTTCATCCCGTCTGCCTGCTGTCACTGCAGCTTGGCTGTGTGGTGTTCCCTGGCTGCATACATGGTACAACATGTTCTCATGTCCAGTCCCATGAAAACACACAACAGCACATTAGATCATGTCCTTTATGATTCACCCTTTCCCTCAGCAGCACCGGTCTGGGTTCATAAAAACAAACCCTGTTTCATGGAAAGGACTGAATCGACCGTATTCATTTGGCGCCATTAACCCCAGTAGAGTTGTTTTGAGGTCTGTAAAGTCTTGGGTGAATATTACCATGATGGATGTCTTTGCACACGTGTGCTGCTTTTTGTGAATGTCAAATGAATTACTTTTTATTGGACTCCCTGCAGCAGCAGAGGCAGCACTTCCCTCCAAATATGAGCCATCTCTAAAACACTCCATATCATGAATAAAAAACAGCCCCAAAAAATTCCACCAGCAACACTGAAGCTCACAGTGGTTCTCATTTGCATTGGTATTTGCTGATTAGTTTGCCCCTGGAATTTACTGGTCAATCAAGAAGATAAGTGGTGGAAATGGGAAACATACAGTACAGTGTGTCCTCTGTAATTTTATTCTGTGGGTATTTTCTAGCTGTGCTTCCACATCTGTCGCTGACTTTGAATCAGTTGTAAAGTAAAGCTTGTACATCCAATCATTTCATGACATTAGAAGCTTGCATCTTTTGTGCTTTAGATTTAAATTAAACTTCATTTTATGCTAATGAATTCAGTACTGATGGAAATTCTTTCTCATGGTAGCAGCAGATGATTAAATGAACGACTGAAAAGGACGTCTTGTGCACACGCAATGTGGTGGCTCATTTCTTCCTCTTTAATACACTTCAACACATGTGTCGGTGTGTAAAAGAAAACTGTGTACATGCTAGAGTGAAAGCAGAACGCGTTCTTAGAAGTAAAGTAGTAGTATCAGAGGAAGTACAACAGTCAAGTAGCAGCAGCAGTCAGAGGAGGTCGGTAGTGTAACAGCAATATACGGGTTAGTACCAGCAGCAGTAATTGTAGTAATAACAGTAGAATAGTTAATACAATGAAACAGTAAGCAGTAGTTGTTGTAGTTTAACACCTACAGACAGATTTGAGCCGATTGGTGTTGGCACATCTGGCTGTGTGCTGGCACCAGAAGACCAACTGTGAGCCAACAACTACATCAGCGTTGTTGACCACTGGTAGTGCTATGGAGTAATGTTTGTCCCTGTTCTTTTTTTGTTTTTTTAAATTAGATCCACAGTTTGCAGCCAAGAAACAACAGGCCAAGAAATTCAGGCAGAACTAAAACTAGTCATTCATCACAAGTCAGACATGAGTTCAGTAAACAGGCACTTATTAGTGAAACAACCATACAACAAGATAAACATGAATTATTAGCAACACTAAACAAAGACATTACATACCTTCTACCAGGTAAGAGTCAATTTTCTTTCTTCAGCTTCTCAACCTTGAGTAAAAGTCATGGAAGACTCTTGTAAAGTAGTAATGAAGGCTGCGTTAAGTTATTGCAATTCTTCCTCTGGGGACCATGAATGTACAAAATGTCTTGGCAATCAATGCAGTACCGCTGGCATGGCTAGTGAAAATGTAACAAACAAACAAAATAAAGATGTGTGTCCTCTTTATCATCAGTAATACGTTGAAGATAGTTGTCTTTGTCACATTAAACCTACATGCATAACAAACGGTGACCAATCAGAAGGCTGCAGAGCTCAAACATCAAAGTGTCTGAGCTTCATCCAGCTGTGGTTTGTACAGAGATGGTAGATTCCTCATCCTGCTCCAAAGTTGGACTGACTGTTACACCCTCAACAGCACCATTTCCCTGCAGAGGTCTTGCACGCACACACACACACACACACACACAGTCTCTCATGGATGGCTCTTCCTTTCCCCTGTAGGGTATAAAAGCAGAAGCAGAAGTTTTCCAAGACGGAGCAGCAGCAGCAGCAGCAGCAGCAGACCGACTCCAGCCAACAGCAGCTTCTTTCTCCAACTTCATCTGAGGTGAGTCCACTCTGTACGTAACACCTTACTTTACAGACACAAAGTTTGCATTTGTTTTTAAGAACTTCGCTGGGGTGCAACAATTTAATCGCACCAAAAAATTCCTCAGCGGCTCGGTCATTTTGTGTTGTTTATACCTTCCAGATGTGAAGATGCAAATAAATCATGCCACATGTGAAAATCATTTAAAACATTTGATGTTGTGCAATTTGTTGTTGTGCAATCTTAACTCAAACAAAGCCTATTGTGCATTATTAGGATAATTTTAATATTGATGCACCTTTCTGTCATTTAAATTGAATGGAATGGCTGCTTTAGCTCCTAACAATCCAGATGTTACTACCTGAATACTAGCAGTAGTGACAGTGGACTTAAGAATCAAGAGGCTTTTACCTGAATATTGTAGTTACTGTAGTGGTAACACTAACAATAGAACAAAAAGGTTTGTGTCCAAAAAGTTTATGATGCATATAAAACCTGGTTCATTAACTCTTTTGCTGGGGAAAGTACGGCAGAGAAGGCTCAGTCCTGCTGGTTAACATGTGTGTGGATGTTCCTCTCGTGTCAGCATTTGCCACGGTGTTAAAAACGTGTGTGTGCATGTATATGAAACGTGTCTCAGAACTAGTAATAACTAGTATTTTAATTACCGGAGTATTTCTTCCACCAATGCTCATACTAAATCTGCTTGACTTTATTTAAGGTGAATCTTGTAGGTTATCTAGGACTTGCATGGTTCTCTGAAATCAGCAATTGCTAAACCTTGGACTTTATATGTGATGTAACAGTGGTAAAAGAAGTACTTTACAGAAGTAAAAGTACTTGTGCTGGAGAAGCATGGCCCCTGTGACTAATATCATTACTATATGAATCAATTTACAAGTAACATTTAACTTTTTCCACAGCTGGCCGGCGGTGGAGCGAGTTTAAACTACTTAAAAAAAAAATGTAGGTTGTTTTGTCCAGTGAAAGATAAATTTGAGTGGTCGTAAGACGATTAAGTTATTTTGGTTTTACCTCTTTGGACCACTTGTCTGCAGAAGGTAAGCGTGTCCCTCTGTGCCACCGGTGCTTGAGGTGAAAACAGAGCTTTCTCTGTGTTTAATGATGACTCATGCAGCCAAACGTCGTCCCAAAACTTCTCTCCTCGACCAGCTCACGGACACATTATGCAACAGTGAGCCTCGCCAGGCAGGTGTCTGTAACACGAACCTGACGTACTTTCTGCTCGCACCTTATGAAAACAGCTGTTGTGTATTTAATGGTTACATCATGGTTACATAATCGTCATGGCAGTAACTTCGTGCTGCTGGGTGTCGTATGTGGACCCCGTGAGGGCTGAAGGGTTGATGTCATTTTAGTTCTGTTTCTTGTTTTGTGGATTTAATGAGTCATTCTGAGTAAACTGAAGGTTCTTTGTTGACATCGGTTTAATGCGTACACGCCCAAGTTTTAACCCACTATAGTGGTCAGTTTGTTGATTGTTTTCAACTTAATATGATTTCTTTGGTTTTAGAAATAACTTGTTTGTGGAACTTTAACGGTTTTCTTTTTACCTATTATCACTTGTACTGTAGATGTACTGTAAGTCAAGAGCAACGTTTCTGTGTTTTTAATCAATATCATTTTACACTTCTAGGGCCGCACCTAACAATTATGTTAATTATCGAGCAAAACATTATAAAAATAAATAAATGTGTAAAATTGAATTTAAAAAAAACAAACAAATACTAAATAACAAATAGGAAGACATAAAGAAAATAATAATAAATGGGGAGGGGTTGTAATGACGCCTTTAGGCTCACACATATAATAATAATAATAATAAGTGCTAAATTTACGCACTATTGTTTACATGCAAATCATTCATATTGTGAATTGTGTTTCTCAACTAAGTGATGAATTGTTTGGTCTGGACCCAAAGATATTCAATTAATTATCTTAAAGAGACCATTTGGTATCACCAAACACTAAAAGTGTCTTTCTTTACCAGCATCTCACAGGAAGAGGAGTGACTGTAAACTCCCCTACACCCAACCCACAAACGCACACATGGAAACCACATGTGATGTAAAAGTTTTCCACACTGTTATTTCATTATTCACAAGCTTTAATATTTTCATGCACTTTGCTTTAATGGCCTTTCCAATATTTAAATATGTCCTTGAATAAAAGGTCAGGCGTGTTTCCAGTTCTTCCACAGCTGCAAAGCAGACGGGTTTTAAAACAGTTCGCCGACCATGCGAGACAAACGGAGCATGATGGCCTTAAAAAACTCTGAAGACACTAACTAGTGGCATATTTTAAATGTGAAGTCAGATTTATTGCAAACATACAAAAAGTCAGAGTAAAAAAATGTGTGTTTTCCATCCACTCTCCTCTTCCAGTCCTGCGACGGATCCTCCACCCTGAACTATCGCCATCATGTCTGATCAAGGTGGCGCCCCGATCTCCACTCCCGCCCCCCCTGCTCCCAGCGGACCTCCTCCCAAGATGACGAACCGCGGCCGCACCGCAGTTCCCCTCTCCAGCTCAAACTCTGAGTCAACGGACATACCGGAGTTTGAGCCCTTTGGTCTCCCGGGCCCGAGAGGATTTCCACCCATGACTGGTGAGGAAGAGCCCTGTCAAACGTCACGAGTGGAGTCATTAAAGTGAATATGCAAGTTATAGTTTGAAACCATTAACTAATCGATATTACAATGGAACTTTCCCAGTTGATTACTTACATTAAGACAGCATTTTTTTGTATTACAAGTGTTGTGAAATTTTATGTTTAAGTATGACGAATTAGTATTATTATTTTATTTCCACTCGTTGAAAGAAGACTCAAAATAGCCCAAAATTCACCATAAATTATGCTTTTGTTTTTTTGCCCGGGGTGTCTCGCATACTAAGTCTTCTCCTTTTAAGGGCAGAAGACAGATGTCACCACTTGGTTTAAAAAGATAAAGTATTTTTCCCGACATTGACACAGTTTCCTGTAGTTTTTGCACATGATTGACACACGAATGATGTCCAAACAGGATAAATTCTGCTCACTTCCTGCAGCTTGTCACTACTCTCCACCCAGCGTTATTGTGAGAAAGCTGCTCAGTGAGAGATATCCAGATGTGACAGGAGTTTATGAATGCAGTGACTGGAATGTCTCTGATATGACTGCAAACAAGTCACGAATGAGTGTTTATAGGGATGACTCACATACACATCACTGTGGTATACTGATGAAACTCACAACTGCTGACACATTTCGAGAGCAGAGGAAGATAGGATTTAACAAAAAGTCTCAATCCACCGCTTGGCTAGAAAACAATGATTTCCATCTACATGTTTTTGAGACGCTCTGTCTCCGTCTTTCTCTTCCTCTCTGTGTTCAATCAGAGTATGTGGACGTTATGGGCGTGGACATGATGAGGAGGCCGGATGAGAGCAACAAGATACAGCACCACACCATGTTGTTCAACTCTGACAATCTCATCGTCCGTCGAGGACAAGAGTTCCAGGTCAAGATCGAGTTCAACCGTCCCTACAAACCCGCTACAGACAAGTTCGCTGTGGAGTTTGTCATCGGTGAGCTGAGCATACTGTAATTATAATGGTTTTAAAAGTGATATTTTACACCCAGCATTTATAAACTCCTTTAATTCTGGATCTTGTGGTCTGTCCGGTTGACATTCTCGCATGTTGACATCTTGTCATTTGCATAAATGTCCCTGTTCTTTCAGGCTCCAGCCCTCAGTACAGCAAGGGCACCTATATGCCTGTCTTCACCACCAAGGAGCGTCAAAGCTCCTGGGAAGGCCGCATCACAGCCACCGCCGACAACACGGTCACCATGGGCGTCACCCCCGCGGCAAACTGCATTGTGGGGAAGTACCACATGTACATCGCTGTGATGACGCCCTTCGGCATCCGCAGGACCAGACGGGACAACAGCCGAGACCTCTACATCCTCTTCAATCCCTGGGCGTCGGGTCGGTTTAGGCTTCTTGACCACATTTTAGTGGCTTTTGTCTCACTTTCCAGTCCATGAAAATCTTCTTTTTTTTCCCTCAGATGATGCTGTGTTTCTGGATGATGAGACTGAGAGGCAGGAGTGTGTGATGACTGAGATGGGGATCATCTACCACGGCGCCAACGACGACGTCGCTGAGAGAAGCTGGAACTATGGACAGGTAGAAGAAAAAAAACACTTCAAGAAGACTTCAGGACTGAATCTCCTAATTGTTTTTGACTTAATTCTTTTTTCCTAGTTTAACTTTGGAGTCCTGGATGCCTGTCTGTACATCATGGACCGGGCTGACATGCCCATCCCCAACAGAGGAGACCCCATCAGGGTGACCAGAAAGGCTTCTGCTATGGTGAGAAACTATTCATGGACATCCACTAAAACACAGGAAACTGGTTTACAGATACATAAGCAGTTAAATGATGCATCAATACACACAGAACACTACTGTGCAGTAAAACATACAATATTGCTGATATAGTGAATAATATCCTGCGCTTAAATGTTGACACCAGCTTGAAATATGACAAGCTGTTATCTCAATATTGTCTCTCATTAAATAGTCATTCTTTATCTGCTAGACTTCAGCAAAATAGCCTTTTCAGACAATCCCAGCATTTCAAAATAATAATAAATAATAAATGTCTGAAATCTGCTCGCTGTCGCACTTAGCTGAACTCTCGTGATGACGAGGGCGTGCTGGTGGGGAACTGGAGCGGCGACTACACCTACGGAGTGGCGCCCACTTCCTGGACCGGCAGCACAGACATCCTGCTCACCTACGCCAGCAGCAAGATGCCCGTTTGCTACGCTCAGTGCTGGGTCTACGCCGCCGTCTTCAACACCTGTGAGATCTTTACTGGATACAAGTAGCTTACAACAGGAGATAGGAAAGGAAGCATAGAGACACATTTTCTTAGCTTTCTACCCAAAACTTTATTACTCTGCATTTAACCCATCTTTAGTATTTTAGGAGCAGTGGCCTTCAACTTGGGGCTCATTGTCTGGCTTTAACAATCAATCAAGTTGTATTTATATAGCACCTTTCAAACAAAACAAATGCAATTCAAAGTGCTTTGCAAATGATTTGCACTGAGCCACAGCCGCCCCAGATGTACTCTAATCATGACTTCTATTTTAGTTTATTCACTCCTTGATTTCTGTCTTTGAAAGCCAGAGTAGGCAGCAAACAGGACACAGACCCCTAGTGGATGGGAGGGGTCATCACACTTGTTAAATGTTTTGCCTCCAGTCCTGCGCTGTCTGGGAATCCCATCGCGGGTCGTCACCAACTTCTTCTCCGCTCACGACAACGATGGAAACCTGAGGACCGACATCATCCTGGATGACAACGGCAGGATTGACCGCAACCGCACCAAAGACTCTGTCTGGTAAAACATCTTCTATGCTGCTCGCCATAATGCAGAGATATTGTGGTGAGACTTAGACTGCCATAACATTTGTTATGAATATTCATGGTCCCCAGAGGATGAATCCTACTGGTTTTGGTGACTCCCTGACATTTTCTTTAATGTCAGCATCAGGCCAACATTTCCATGTGCTATAAAGTAATATATAAAATAAAGTAGAATATAAAAAACAATCACCAGTTTGCTATGGGATTTTTTCAGCATGTTCATGCTCCTGAGAGGATGAACCCTTTACATGATGAGCACTCCACTCTTAGTGCCATCCACAGAGCCAAACCTCAAGATATCTTTAGCTTTTTTTCTGTTTTCCTTTCTATTTAAAGACCTCCATTAGTAACATATACATTTAGATAATAACAAAACAGGACTTGTTTAATACTAATGTCTATAATGATATTTGAAATAATGTTTTAATTAGGAACTATCACTGCTGGAATGAGTGCTACATGTCCAGACCAGACCTCCCAACTGGCTTTGGAGGCTGGCAGATTGTGGATGCAACACCACAGGAGACCAGCGATGGTAAGTAATAATAGTATAAAATAATTGCTGGCTTTATAATAACAGGTTATAGGTTATTAAGAGTTATATTCATTGCTAATCCAATTATTCCCAGAAATCACAGATTATTAATCTTATTCTCCGTTATCCATAAAGGCATGTACAGATGTGGTCCTGCATCAGTCCAGGCCATAAAACATGGGCAGATATGCTTCCCATTTGATGCTGCCTTTGTGTTTGCTGAGGTGAGTCTTTAAATTACATTGTTTCAGTGGGATTTTTCTGTAAAAAAGTTTCTTATTTTGTCTGTAGTTGCTGAGAGCCGGTGTTTCTGTGCGTCTCCCGACAGGTCAACAGCGATGTGGTGTTTTACAGCCGGAGTAAAGACGGGGCCATGGAGCCCGTCAAGGTGAACCGGACTCATATAGGCCGCAGGATTTTGACCAAGACTCCAGGAGACATGACCCGTCGAGACATCACCGAACAATACAAGTTTCCCGAAGGTCAGAATCGAGAGACAAATCAGTGTTTTGAGAATGTTTTTCTCTGCTGCAGCCTTAGCTTCTGATTTAGATAAAGACAACAAGTTTTATATACAAACATAATCTCAAATTATTAGTAACATTATTTTGTTCTACTATTACTGCTTTTAGTATCATTATCATTCTATTACATCCAAACCTGTTGATAAATACATTGATATTATCCTTTAAATTAAAGAAATGTGCAAACAAACTAATGTGTTTCAATCCTCCAATCTAGGCAGCACAGAGGAGCGGACCATCCTGGAGAAAGCGGAGGAGTACGGCTGTCAACGAGAGAAGTCCGACCTTCCTGTGGCTGACGTGGACCTGGTCCTGCCCACCCTGGAGGTCAGCGTGGGCGACAACTTCGAGCTGAGCCTGGAGTTCATAAACAGCAGCGACCAGACCCGCACCGTGGACGCCTACATCAGCGGCAGCGTGGTGTATTACACCGGAGTCACCAGCTCCGAGTTCCTGTTCAGGAATCCCACGGTGACGATTGAACCCAACAAAAGTGAGAAAGGCGTTTATTTATTTCTCACCAGCAAAAATAGACTTTTTCATCTTATTCATTCAGCAACCACGGACGAGATCAAATAAATGATCAAGAATATGTGAGCAGTAAAAGTATTATAATTGAACACATGAAAGCACTCAAGAGTTCAGTCGTCTCTCGGATTATAATAATTGCAAATATTAAAGGTCAATGCAGAGAGAGCAGAGCTGTATTTTTGTGTTCTCCAGGTGTGAAGGAGTCGGTGACGGTCGACTCAAAGAAATACATGCAGAGTCTCGTGGAACAGGCCAACCTCCACTTCATCGCCACTGGGAAGGTCAAGGAGACCGGCCAGATCGTCACCGCCATGAAAGTCGTCACCCTGCACAATCCCAAACTCACCGTCACGGTCTGTTGCTTTTATTCTGTCTACACGTAAAAACAAATCTTAATTCGTTGGCATCCTGCATTATTTATCATGCAAAAAGTTTATTTCTACAAGTTTCTACTTTCTTTCCGCTTTAAAACCTTTTTTGCAAGTGGATTTGTAATGTTTTTGTTTTTTCTTAAGGTGTCCGACGGCGGTAAAGTGAATGAAGAGATGACGGCGACTGTGGAGTTTACGAACCCCTTCACCTTCAGCCTGGAGGGCGTCTACATTCGTATGGAGGGACCTGGGATCATGCTGCCCATGTCCAAGTATTACAGGTGAGTTCAGCCCAGAAGAATCAGGTGTAATCTTAATCTTTTACTCATTTAATGTGTTAGCCACACAAACCTGCAGCTGAAGGGAAAATCACTCACATTTTCACATAAAAGCTCCATTTTTTTTTTTAACGTCGCATCCTTCATTCATCTGTTCATTTCTATGCGTGGGTTCTGTAGCACAACATTTTACATGATATGCTGCAGAGATTCTTACAAATGTGCATTATTACATAATTTGGCAGCATATAAATTAATGTATGAAGCAACTAACCTTTCATTAATTGATGATAAGTCAATGTTCTGTTCACAAGACCAAAGAAATCAGCCATGTTTTTGTACCCTTATAATAAAGTCTTACTGCTTCTTGACGCAGTAGTTTTGATGTCTTGACTATCTATGATATGACACCAAAAATCTGCGCAGTCCATGTGGCCTCTAACTCTTAACTCTGCTGGTTTCAGCCTGATCACAGGAGGCTCCTCTCTGACCTGGAGCGAGTTTTTCATCCCGCAGAGGGCCGGCAGCAGCAGGCTGATCGCTTCTCTGGACTGTCCTGCTCTCAGGCAGGTCTACGGCACGGCGTCCGTCACCATCGAGCCCTGAAGGATCACTGACGCCAGACAACATTCAACTCACTTAAAAGATATAAACCTATAACATAGTTACGTAACGGTAGGTTTACAACAGCTTAACAGGTGTTGCTTCAGCATTTATGATAAGAATAGGAAGAAGTTTTAGTCATAAGAAAAAAGATCTTTGATCTACAAAATACAGATTTTGTTTTTTTAAAGTGCAAGCATGATGAATATTTTGGCAGTTAAAGGAACAGTGTGTAGCATTTAGGGGGCTCTGTTGGCATATTGTCTTTTGTGTATAATCACAAGAGAAGTTCCAGTTGCTAGATGAGGCCAAATACTGCAAACAATTGATCCAAAAGCTTAATTGATATTCTCTTTATTTGTGGTGGAAAAACGTACATTGATGATTACTACTTCCTTTCTTTTTAGTTTATTAATTTTAACTCAAAAATACACCAGTACACTGTGAGTACAGCTGTGTTTGACATCACTCCCTCATTTAATCATTCAATACTCCTGATAAGGGCAATAAAGACCTTCCATATTTTACTCTAGTGAAGTGGTAAACAGAGATTTCTGACAATAATAAATGATCCATCTTCCATTGATTAAAGTTTCTGCTCTTTCCACCTTTTTAATATCAAGCTAGAAATTCTGTTTCTTCCCATTTTTCTTTGTACAAGAACATGTGCAAATATCAACCAAATAAAAGATTGATAACTGCATCATTTTGTGACAATATATTCCCCAGATGTGTGTCTATGTGAGTCAGCGCTCATAATTGGTTGGCATCATTCCATCTTAACTTCATGAGCAGCAAAGGCTAAAATTATACAATTAAAGAGCAACCATCAATGACTCTGAACTATATCAATCTGATCACTAAAGCAATGGTTCACAAAAACAAATTCAAAACTGTCTCCAAAGCCAGCAATAGTACATTTAGTAACATGGAAAACAAAAGTGCAAAAGTAAAACATCCTCATTCCTGGAGAGATACTAACCCTCAAACATACTCTGTGGAACCATAACTTAAATTAAACATACACAAAAATATCTAAATATCAAAGTTTATCTTTTACTCCATTCTGCGGACACTTATCTAACTTGCACAGTGTAAGATGCATCACTTTTCCCTCATAGTCACTTGAAGGTGATGAGGTAGTCTGGGTACGCTTGGTTATCATGGAACACTACATACATGCTGGGGTAGGCTGTGTTGTCCACCACACTGTCGTAGCGGTCGCTGGACTGCTGGTCACTGCGAGCGGGAGGAAACCTCATGCTGCTGTGACCCAGAGTGTAGACGCCGGTCAGGACTCGCGCCACAAACATTAACTGGGAACCGTCAGCAGCTGGCCTGGAGTAGGTGGGCTGGGCTGAGTAGCTGGCGTCCACGGCAAAGTAGGTTCCGTGACCGTGTGCGGTCGCTGAAAATAAGAGGAAATAGACAATTAACAAGTCCTCATACCTAAAAAAAAGAAAGTACCATGTCTATAGATAAAGGTTTGGTTTGGTAGAAAATTCCAACTGTACACCAAAATGTTTGCTACAACCCTACTCTGTCACCAACTAATAATTAGTCCATAGGTTAACAAACATGTTCTCCTTTAAACTCCTATAAACAGGTTCTCTGGGTCATACAGTAGGAAGTGATGCAACAGCAGTGATTTGCTCTGGATGAATAAAAAGAAGTGGAGGACATGTATGCGGCCACATTGTGATCCTACTCTGCTGAAGCAAAGACGACTAGCAGATATTTACCGTTCTGCCCAGAAAAGCTCCTGTTGAACCCAGTTTTCATGATGGAGTCGCAATTGTCCTGAGTCGTCCCGTGGTACAGAAGCTTTTCACGCGCTCCACCCTGGTGTTTGTTCTTATCAGAGATGTGCTGCTTCTGCGCTTCATAGACGCGTCGCAGATGGACAACCTGCAAGCGCTCGATCTGTCAAAGACAAGAAAATAATGAGCTGCAAAATTGACCTTGGAAGGAAGTAAATAACTTTTCAAATGCATTGTGTTCATTAGACTATATGGAAATACAATGTTAAAGTAAAAGCTTCATTCATATACTAGATAAAAGCTATTGAGCTGCCCACCTTCATCACAGCCTTCTGGACTGTTCGTTTGAAGGCCTCCTTCACTGTTCGGTACTCTGCCGAGGACGGCTGCAGTGGAACCTTCTTGAAAGCTTCACTGGCAGCCATGTTGTCCCAGTACAGAGGGACAGAGAAGTCTGACAAAAAAAATTAGAAAAATTATCAGAGTAAATGTGCTTTGTTTCTTTAAATAAATGTGTAACACTACAACATTTTCTCAGTTTAAATGAAATCAGAAGGAAACTCAATTCAAGTATAATGCAAACATGTTTTACTTTTTTGCTTTGAAACTCAATTTTGAAATTGACGTGGACAAAAAGCCTTTAAAGTACACAGACAAGAAATTAATTTGAAAGTCTAAATCTTAACCGTGTGACATCTCACCTGAGAGATGCTCAAGTTGTTTCAGCATCGCCGTCTGTCCAGTTAATCGACATGTGGCCTCCATCCTCCGTAGATCCACGGACCACTGGACGCTCTGTGCGTCCACTATCCCTCCTGCCACATCATTGTTTTCCAGGTTGTGATTGGCTGTCTTGGGGAGTCTCTCCCAGTTACCGCCATGTCCCAAGATGCACCAAGTCACACGCGCGAACAGATCCTCCTCCTCCCTGACTCTCACCTCTCTTCTGAGGCTGCCGTGCAGGGAGGCGTTAACCATCTGCATCACCATGTTGACCCCATCTTTTAACCCGCTCACTGTCAAGGTGCCCCGGCCGGACTGGTCCTTCTGCATGTACAGACCTTCGGTGTCCACCAGCTGCTTCAGATCCTTCATGTTGTCCTGGGTGAGGCCTGCCAGCTCTTCCTTCTCAAAGGTTTTAGTGGAGCACTGAGTGTGATACAGATCCATCACCTTTGTCATGGCATCGTCAACATCCTTTCTGGAGAGACCCAGGAACCAGAAGACGGACTGCTGACTTGCAGAGCTGGTGAAGTTGATGCTTGTATCTGGGCTCTTAGACAAAGGAGGCTGCTGTTGTACACGAGGCACCTGAGGTACTGACACTGCAAGGTGGGTCAAACGATAGCAATCGGTGGAAATTCCAACAAAATTATATAATCGTGATTAAAAAAAGACCGATTTCTAAGCAACCACAAAAGAAGAACGCTGTTTGTGAATCACCTCTGTTGATTACAGCAGTGGGAAACTTTTGCATTGCTTCCTCTTTAAAGGCCAAGAAGACTTTAATTTTAATCAGGACGATGCGGATGTTAGTGAGACATTGAAGAGGAGTGGACGAAGTGGCCGCCATGACCCCTCGGAGGATGGCACCTGCCACGACACCAGGGTCCAACCCACCAACTCCTGCAAAAATAATTACACTTTTAAAAAATGGACAGACATTTACATTTAGTGTGTTTTTTTTAAACTAAACATCTATAACGTCTTACAAAATACTCACCAGCACAGATGGCAGGAATGGCGACAGACTTGAACTCAAACGTTTCACAATAATCAATGATGCCACGCACCAGTTGTTCAATGAGGACTACGTCCTTTTCACCACAGACATGAAAAATGGCTGAACAGGGGAAAGATCCAGACTGGGAAACAAAAACGTCTCCTCGGATCCATTTTGCTACACAAGACACAACAGACGAGATGAGTAAGAAGCTGTAAGTGTTGCTTGTAAATGTCTAGCTGGTCCTCTTTTCTCACCTGCTCTGAGTTCAGCCTCCACCGCTGGTCCAGCTACGGTTAAGATGTCTTTGCACACACCATCTGTAGCATAAAGACCATATTTATTACCCGTGGTGGAATGTAAACTTAACCACAATGTAAACTTAATTTACTCAAGTTGCCGGTAGATATCACAATATTATGGAGTAAGCTAACTTTAAGTGACAAAAGTCTAACATTGCCAAAGCACTTCTTGGCTAAACGCTATATTGAAAAACTGGTTGCTAGCAGCGTCAGGTTGCTTTCCGTGACTTATTCAAGCTGTTGGGTATCTCTTTGGCATTATCTGTCACATTAGCTTTACGTCTAAGCTACCTGGCTCTGCTGGCTACCAGCTCCATGAGGACCACAGAACTGGACATGGAGGCTGTGACAGCGGTCTTCTGTGACCGGTGAGTACACATTTCTTGAATACAATGCTGATATACTGCCCAGCCGTGTCCTCGGCTCTCACTCACCTTTCTGAAAATCAATGAAGTCGGTCGTGTTCACCACAGCATCTGTCGTCTCATTAGTGATGTCACCGAACACCAGCTGCAGTTTAACCCCGCATCCCACTGTCATTGTGATGTCATCGAGGTCACTGGTGAGGGACCTGAAGATCGCTAAGAGGAAGAACGGACACAATATATTCCATATATGTCTGATGTTTAAACTGTAAATGTAAATGGTGGAATTAGTATTCTAAGCAGTTTACCTTGGCCTCCCTGATTCATATTTAAGCTGAGGTGCCTGTGGACCTCATGGTAGCACTGTAAATAAAAGCGGCAGCATTAAGCACTTCAATCAATAAATCATACATGCACGCATAGTACGAACCAGTTGTTGTGTTGATAGTCACCTCCTCAGAGTCAGGGTAGTCTGGTTTAATGACGATGTGGATGGTGGAGAGAGACCCAGAGGATGCAGTTAATCCAAACTGGCGAATGTTGTCAGTCAGCACTTGAATGGCTTCTCTCAGCGGGTATTTCAAAACAATTCCAGATCCGATAACAGGGAAGGCCACTGAGCACAAGCCCTGCTGTACACAAAGGTCCAAACACCTCTTCAGCCCATCGCTAAGCACCTGGAAAACAAAAATCAGACATTTCCTTTTGTGTTTTCAAAAGTTACCACTGCATTGTACAATGCTTTCTAAAATGTGTGACATAAGCTAATATAGAGAAGATTTGAGATTTGTAGAGTTAAACTTTCAACTAAAAGTAAAGTTTTTAAGCCACTCGTTGGGTTTATGTCAGTAAGTGAACCTTGAATTTGAACTCATCTTTTGCCCTCACCCATAGTGTTTTCAAAACGTCTGATGTATTTCACTTTACCTGCACACTCCGCCCTCTGACTCCATCCCACGGAAAGCACTCAATGAAGAAGAGCTTGGTGCAGCCCAGAGATGGAGGCGCACCGACCTGCAGAACATCACCAGGGACGAGACTACCATTCGCTGCCATCCAGACAAGCTTTGACTTGATCGCATTCCCGGCTTTACTCAACAGGCATTCACCAATTTTAGTAGAAGTTAGCTGCCCGTTGAGCATGGGCACCACTAATACATTCACCTGCGGAAAGAAGGGGGGAAAAAACAATGTGAGTGACTGCATTGCTCCTGTATGATTTAATGTAAAGTAGAACAGAAATTGTCGTACCTGCTCATCCACCAAACTGCCAAGCCGGATCTCCAGACTTGTCTGGTTTACTGCAATACTCCCAACAGTACTGCTGCTCAATCTGGAGATAGGTTGGGGTGCTAAGCTCATGGTGCTGCTGGAGAAGATGTTGGTGCTGCTGGGAAAGTGGCTGGTGCTGCTGGGGAAGATGTTGGGGCTGCTGGGGAAGATGTTGGGGCTGCTGGCGAAGATGTTGGGGCTGCTGGGGAAGAGGTTGGGGCTGCTGGGGAAGAGGTTGGGGCTGCTGGGGAAGA